CCCATCCCCTCAGCATTCCCAGAGCTGTCCCGGTGGGTTCACCGGGAGCAGGAGATGGCTGAGCTCACACACCCTGCCATGAATTCCCTCTGGAATGAGGAGGGAGAATGGGAGAATGGGAGAATGGGAGAATGGTTTGGGGGTGCTGGGAGGGACTGGCAGAGCTCCTGAGCCCAGCAGTGTGTGGGGCCTAAGGAGAGGAGCAGAGACCTGCAGCCCCATCTTCCCAGAATCCCATAATCAATCCCATAATCAATCCCATAATCAATCCCATAATCAATCCCATAATCAATCCCATAATCAATCCCAGGGCATGGGAAAGCCCTCCAGGATCACCAAATCCAACTTCTGACCAACCCTCACCTTGGCACCAGCCCAGAGCTCTGAGTGCCACATCCACCCCCTCCAGCACCTCATTTCCACCTTCCTCAACTCCAACCCAGACCTTTCCCACTGTCCCTCTGGAAATATCAGCCAAATCCACCAAATTCTGGCAAAAAAACAGCTTCCAAAGGATATATTTCTGCTGCAAGGARTTGATGAGCTCTTCTACCTTGGTCTGGAACTTCACAATAGATTTGCACTCGCACGGATCCTCCTCTGTGGGTCACAACAGAGCATGAGTGGCATAAAAAAACTGATTTAATCAAAGTCACTGAGCCCAGTGAAAGAGCAATTCTTATKTTCTTTGTCAGAGAAGAGAAGGAAATCAAAATATAATTATTTTGAATTATCTGACTGATCTCTTCTGCCTTTAACCCCAGATGAGCAGAGAATGTCACATTTTCTTGCTTTAGAGGCCATGAAGGATCTTTCCTGGATTTTTCCAGTTCCCTAAAACCCACTGAGTTCCGCTCCTGATCCTTCAAGTTCGCCCCAAAACTGGAATCAAACAACAATCAAACAAACCAAGCTCCCCAACAATGCCCAATAAAAACTGGAGGCACTGCTGCCATCTCASAGTCGGGACTGATCTGAGCTTTGCTTCAGTAATTGCAGTTCTTGACGGGTGGAACAGTGAGCATTAATCACTTTGCTAATTTATGTCACTAATTTACATCTGTTCTTCGAGGAAAATTAACTGAGCCTGGAACAGGAGGGAAAGATGTCTGAAAAAGAAAGGGAGGGTTCCAAGGCCACGTGGAGGTGGGCAAATGGAAGGAGTGAATAAAAGAGAGACTTTGGAAAGGAAAGGACCCAAAACACAGYGTGCTCAGACCAGCCAGGAGTAAACTGAGGCTGGAGATTCATTTTTAACACTCAAATATTAATGTATTTACCCAGATTGATATTTCGTAAGCAAATACTCTTTCTGAAATTTACTTTTTTTTGAAGGCTGAGGTCTAAATAGATTTGAAAAGATTTTAAGTGCAATTTGTTGGGGTTTTCATGTAGATCCCATCCTCTCATTCCTGGATGGATCCCGCTGTTTGAAGGAGCCCTGGGGGTTTTGTCCTTCTCAGACCTCCTCAGGAGGACAGGAAAATCCCATTTTTCGGAATCTGGAGGACAATCCATAATTTCTGAACCAGAAGAAGGGCAGAAAGGTGGGGGGAAAGGGAAGGAGGAGAAAAGTTGGGAGAGGGGGACATGGCTGAGGGTTCAGGGCTGTTTCACTTCAGGCAGCCACCCAAAATATTGGTGTCTCCTGGTCCTTCCGTGTTCTGCCAGCTCCTTACACTGAGAGAGATTTTTACAATATCCACCTAAAAGGGTGTTTTCATCCTTCTCCATCAAACCTTCAAATGCTGTCACCAAAACCCTATCCCCAATCCCTCTCACCAACACAGATCTCCTTCTGCAGCTCCTTCAAGGATGTTTCCATCCCTCTACTCCAACCTTCAAACCCTATAATCGAACCCCTCCATCCCAATC